AAAGGGTGCTGAATGGAGATGATGAAGGTGGACCAGCCATGATCGCCTCTGATAGCGACGAAGACGACACGGATGAGGCAACCCAGGAGCTTTAAATCCTACCCGCAAGCGGAAATCAAACCTGCCATCCCGCAACAGAGCGCGCAACAAGCCCCTACTCAATCCAGCAGAAGCACGAACCTCGATCTCGCACCTGACGCCCTCGCTGCAAAATTCCCCTCCCTATTCACCAAAAGGACCCCCTTCGAACCCCGAAAATCTTGATCACTACCTCCATCAACTCTACCTTGCATGCGCAAGCCCATCTCCTGACCGATTTATTCCCTAATAGTGTATATATTCGCCGCTCCGCCCATAAACATGCCCATAAATATTCCGTGAGAGAAATATCCAAATTTGCTTCGAACCGAAAATTCACAGCCGTTGTGGTTGTGGAAGAAGACCAAAAGCGCGTGTCAGGGATAACGATTGTTCACCTCCCCGTAGGCCCAACATTCCACTTCAGCGTCAGCAACTGGATAGAGGGCAAAAAATTACCTGGACATGGCAATTCGACAGGCCACTGGCCCGAGTTGATCCTTAATAATTTCCGAACCCCGCTTGGAATGCTTGCCGCACATCTGTTCCGGTCGCTCTTCCCGCCACAACCTGAGTTAGAAGGCCGGCAAGTGGTGACTCTACATAACCAGCGTGATTATATATTTGTAAGACGGCACAGATACGTGTTTCGCGAGAAACGTGAGACGGAGAAAAGTGTAGTGGGACCCGATGGGAAGGAGATGAAGGGAGTGGAGGGAGTAAGAACTGGCTTGCAAGAGCTCGGGCCGCGGTTTACGCTCAAGCTGAGGAGGATTGATAAAGGAATACAACGGGTCAGCGGACAGGAATGGGAGTGGAAGGGTGGGATGGAGAAACAGCGGACCAAATTCCAGCTATAATTTATCTCACCGTACCGTTTTGTCCTCCTTTTTCCCATCTCCTCACCTTGTCCCCGCTCCTGCTGTTCTCCAAATTCTTCGTCTTTGGGCGCCTATTATATGAATCTTTTTATTTTTAAAAAACCCATTTATGGATTCCGACGATTCTAATAAATATAAACATAGAGACATATCCCCAGCTTTCTACTTTTCGCTTTGCCCTTCTTTTCTATTTCGCATTTGGAGCCTCGAATTCCCCTATTCTCTTTCAGCTCTTGGTTACACATTCCTGTACCAGAAATTAAGTGGATTTGTTCATACCGCTTCTTTTATATACCGCCAGAGTACAAATTTTAATGCTTGTCTTTTACACTGGCAATATATCCAGCTAAAATCGCCTGCAATCTCATTGTCTTCGATTGATCCTGACAGCAAAAGACAGGATATATTCGCCGTTTTTAAGGTTCGGCCACTTTCCTCGAATGCATTTGAGACCCCTCGGCCAGAGCAATTTGGGCACACACCCCGTGCTTAGGCTTCCAAAAGCATTGAGATAGAATGGATATAATCAGGGGAGGTCTCGCTCACCTGGATATCGCGATCGCGAAGAAAGGAGCCGTCGGTCATCAGCGATTAAAAATCCCGTAATTCCCGTGGGCTACTCGAGTAATGAATTGGTTCTGTGCAAAACACCTTGCGGCGGATGAATATCGGGAAGTCAGAGAGATGACAGGTCGTGCGCCAGACCCCAGAGCTTTCAAATTGTCCGGCAGGTGGTTCATATCAAAATACAATCAGCCGGCGGAATAACGCTGTGCACGTAGTTTCAGGAGCACACAAGATAAGATGCCTAAGATTTGAGGAGAATGGCCAAAAGATGATTATTGGTAGAGTGCAAACTTTCGTCCGCAACATGCACATGGCACATCAACTGCGGTCTGAAGCACTTCGTCACTCTAGCTAAACAATCCTTCTGTGTATCGCAAATCTCGCACCTGGGCGATCTTCCCTGTCGTGCGCCTAACATTTGATGTTCGTAATATTCATAGAAACCTGGTTGAACAACTCACGTATCCATGACTGGCGACTGCCCCCAGAGAGTGGTTCGCTATCTCGATAGTATCGGCCAATCGATCTCATATCGCCATTTACATGGCTGCGCTGATTTGCCTGTATAATTGGTATGAAGTGCGACGTTGTTCCAATGATAAGGTAGCAGAATAAGAGCGGAGGAGGAAGTTCATATATGGCCTTCCCTGAACCCGATTATCCCCTGATATTTATTCCCTGTGAGATGGAGTGTTTTGGGAGGCATTTGGGGAAATTTTTCTCCACGTCATTGGCACCGCGTTAATCCGGACAATGATGTAGAACGCATCCGAGACTTCGGGTGCTGTGTGGACCCAAGATTACAGCTGGGATACAACCCTAGCATTGCTTGGGTTGCACATGGGCCAATGTTTTGGTTGGAGATAGAGTGGGTTGGTGGTCTTTGGGCCGGCTAAAACATGGGCGGACATGATATTGTGCGGGGCCGAGCTACTATAAAAAGAAATATAAATCATCCTTTGCTACTTGCATAGATCCCCTTCCTAACTGCTATATATTCTAATATATAGAAGATGAAATCACCGAAAGACCCCACCCCCTATCTCACAGCCCTCCAACGCGATGGCTTCGTCGTTATCCCGAATTTTCTCCCACCCTCCCAGCTCCAAGCACTGCGCACCGCCGCTTCACACGCCTGCGACCTCGGCCGCACCGGCAAATGGCCACACATCCGCACAGTCCCAAAGCAATTCCCACCATGGCCCTCCACACCCCCGCCCGCTGAGGAGGGCGGAATCTGGGGCGTACAGCACCTCATGCATCCCGATATGCCCGGCCGCGACGAATTCGCCAAGCTCTACTTCTCCCCGCGTGTGCTCGAGGTCGTAGAGGAGCTGGTCGGCGTGAAGAAGTCGGAGACGAGAGAGCAGGAACCGCTGACCATGGAGCTCCTCAATCTGCTCGTGGCGCCCACATACGTCCCATTCGCGCTGCGTTGGCACCGCGACGACATCCCCACCCCGCCCACGCTCAGCGCGGAAGACGAGCTGGCGGCCCTGAAGCTGAAGTCCCCGCCGGACCGCCCGCAGTCGCACGCCCAGTACAATATCCCGCTCTATGACGATGAGTCACTAATTGTTGTGCCGGGGTCGCATCGGCGGGCACGCACGCAGGCCGAGCGCGAGGCGGACCCCTATGAAAATAATCTTCCTGGTCAAATGGTTGTGAAGCTGCGTGCGGGTGATGCGGTTTTCTACGATAGCAATATTTGGCATAGAGGCGTGTATGATGCGATGGATCCGGAGGCAAAAGGCGAGGATGGCCTGCCAAAAGGGTTGAGGTTGACGGTGCATGGAAGCGTGGGGTTAGCTGTTGATAACAGTGATGCTGCTGGAGGGGAAACGGATAAGGCGCCGAAGACGAATGTCAGAGCCCTGACTGTGTTACAGCATGGGGTTGGGTTTTGGGTTAACAGGGAGGATGCACATTTTAATGGGTTGGAAAGGGAGGTGAAGGAGAGGGCAGAGAGAATGCGAAAGAGGCTTATTGAAATGGGAAGTGGGGAGGGCCTTTGGGTATGCTCTTGAAGGCTAGTGGAGGATGAACAGAGCTGAGTTGTTTGTCTATGATCATGATGTGTGGAATGCGAGTAATGCTTTGACCGGGCGATACTCGGCATTTTTTTTGTTCTCTGAAAAGGACGATCCGATGACGATTCCAATGACCATGGTCCAGTCAATGGATGAAGGATTTTGTAAATGCCGCCCATATGTTGAAGGTAGTCCTAAATTAGAAATGTATCGTGGTGCATTCACACGAGATATAATATAACAATTTCTTTTATATCAAAGCGGGAAAGGGGGTATACCAGTTCTCGGATATATAATCAGCCACGTATATTCTAGATACGGAACAGCAGAAAAGGCTGTAAAATTGTAAACCTCCCTCCCTATTGGCTTGCGCCCTGAGCAGGGCTGAAGCAAGCCAGGCGATGTATAGAAACGAAATACAAAAAGTGAAGAAGAAAGAAGTGCGCCCCCAATATTCGAGAACAGATATGCGCAGGCGAAAGGTAGGATGAAAGAAAATCGTGGTGTTTTAATCATGAATCATTCTCATTAGTCAAGCCCCGAATCAGGACCTGGTCTTCTCCCTGTGATCACTCTTACAAGCCCCATCGCACCCTCCACTGCACCCATCACAATCTCCATCTTCACCTTGTGACATAAATCCCTCACATCCTCCGGCGTCCATCCGCCGTATTTTGTCAGCGACCGCATACTCGCTGCCTCCAGTCCTTCCAACAACACGATCAACACCATTTTCCCTAGCGTACTCCCCTTCGCATCGCTCTCGCACCACGTCCCAACCGGCACTCGAATATCATATGTCCTCACTTGCACAAACCCTGCAGCTGTCAGTGCGGCCATACGCAAATGTGACAGGTCGCGCGGGTACCCCGCCACATCAGCCGCGGAGCGGATGGCGGATATATATATGCTCATATACGAGTTGGCGGGGGCGTTGCGCGCGTTCAGTAAGCCTGAGGTGTAATCCACATCGGCGATCTCGATGCGGCCATCTGGTTCCAGGTTCTTAAAGGCCTGGCTGTACAGAGCTGACCAGTCGGCTATCGCGCCGGAGAGGCCGCGAATGTGGATGAAGTCGAAGGGATGATGGTAGTTCCATTCGCCGCATTCAGCGTCATCAATTTGGAAGAAGACGTTGGGCGGCGCGATAGAGATGGGATCTGAGTCGAAGACCGAGATGTCGATGGCGAGGATCTCGGTGTCGGGGTACATTTCACCCATGCTAAGGGCCCAATCGCCGGTTCCTGTCCCGATATCTAGGATACGGGAGACTGTTGGGGGTAAGTTGGTTTTTGTGAGTTGGCCATCGTAGATTATTAAGTAGATTTGGTGCTCGATTGATAGACGGGTTTGCTCGGCTTCATCATTCGGCATGAAATAGGTTTCATTACAGTAGCGCCGTTCATTTTCAAGTATATCTTCGATTATGTGTTCAGAAAGAGATTTGGAGGATCTAGATGCTTGTTTGGTGTGTAAGTGAGAATGCGTTGAGGCATCTTGTTTTTATGGATGTGTAAAACCGGGGCGAGATGAGGACGTAAAACAGAACGAATATGTTCGTTAAAAGAAATGTAGGAAGGTAAGACGAACGATAATGAATGTGAGTGACTCGGATCCGACTCTATTGATATGGTATTCGGTGTGTCACTTTGGGACTCCGGCTGAATGTAGTCTTGTGTCGTTGGCTCAGGCGCCGTCAAATATGTCTCTGTGTTTCCCACCTCCGCATCCATATTGGGACCGGCATCCTCCAGGGAGGGTTTAATTTTCAAATATGAACTTTCCTCAGCCATGCGCCCAAGAAACTGTGGAATGGGGAAGAACCCTCCGGAGTTATGTGGATGTATGGCGGATATCAAATAGGCGGAGCATCTATGACTTTTGAAGCCACAGATTAATATTGTTACTACACTCAAGTTGACTGACTCGTCTGTCTTTTTCAAATGGAAACGGTAACGGTATTGGACAAAAATCATGGGATAAGAGCATAGGAGAAGGGATATAAAGAGATAAGGGCCAGTGCAATTGTACTGGTTATTTCTTCCGCATGCCCTTGCGCACAAAACTTGCATTTTTAGGAAGCGCAACCTGTGCCTCGAATATTCGAGGATGCATGCAATGCATACAGAATAAAAGTGGCTTTGAGGAAGATAGAGCATATCCATTTCCTCATTCATGCATGAAGTAATGATAATCAAAGCGCAGCGCAAGTCAAATAACGGCGAAAGTGAAACAAACCGTAACAATGGGAAAGGAGTTAAAACATACCTCTATAAATTTGAGGAAGCCGTTTTCATGATGTACACTTCCTCGGTAGGGTTCTCACAACTCGTCCTTCTCTCTTGGTTGGAGATACTCCAGCAACAGGGTTCAGGGACTTCAGATGAAAGAAAAAAAGCCGCCCAGACAATATATGTTTAACGAACGAGGGGAAGGGTCCCCCTTATCTAATAGTCGATGTTAGTTAACTAATTAGTTAGTTAAGGTAATTAGGTTGTTATTTTTAGGCTTGCGACGGAAAACGGTCGAGCAAGCGGGAGGCCCTGGACCGATTTCTTGGGACGGTAACAAGCGTTTCTAAAAGGAGCTCAGGGTGATTCACCTGTACTATTTACACCGAAAGGAGCTCCTTTTCCAAGTCTCTTCGCGCCACTGCGTTGCGCTGTGCTGTTGAGTCGACTCCTTTGTGTAGTTTCTCCCTGCTACCACGCTGTTGATATGTGATGGCCTGTGGAAGCCTTGATGTTTGTCTCGTTCACTGTAAACCAGAGAAGCCAAGCCGATTATTAGCGTTTACCCCCCGCTCAAACCTCTAAGCATGGACGCCTGCGCTGACAGTTGGTTTGTTGGGAGCGGATCAGAGAATCATAACTAGCTAGAATTGGGGGAACTGGAGAGGAAAAAAAAGAGCATGATAATTCCGCCTCCGAAAACTTGGGGCGAGACTTCGTGTTAAATGATTTCCTCTCTCAGAATCGTGTTCTCATATTTGTTTTTTTGCGTTTCTTATTCCATTTTTTCTTTTGTTTGGCTTATTTTTTGCTTTCTTTCCGTTTCTCCACACCCAAAACATGGCCTGTCTGCGTCCACTGGCTGGATGCGCTCAGGTGGGGAGTGGAATTCTTGACCATTCCAATATCATCCCGGTCCTGGGAGTCAGTCAGTACATGGAGAAACTCAAGTCAAGCCGATGGAAAAAGCAATTAGCATTCAGACGCCGGATAAGCGTTTATCGGCGCTGCATGAAACATTTTTAACCTGACGACTTCCTCATGGCTTGAATAATCGAGGAGAAAAAGTACGTCAATAGAAAAGGAATAAAGCTTTTCGGGTTGACCATGGAAAAATTGCCGTTTGGACCCTCATTCCGCACTCCACGAGCTCATTCTATGGACCTGATGTGCGTCAGACCCAATTTCGTCTGCAAATCTCACCAAGCCATCAAAATTGATAATTGCTTCCAGGCTTGAAATTGTCATTGGTTCAACAATAAACAACTTGTCCCTCAAGGCCCATGGATAAGCAAAAACAAGACCATTGCAGGCAGCACATCCACACGTCAGTCATTGTCCTCTTCACACCCTTCTTTGCCCCCTTGCCCGTTATCGCCCTGTACGTAATTTTTTTTTTTTTTTATTTTTTTTTTTTTTGTAGGTGACCATGGAACCGTGTGCATGCAGGAACATCTGGGACTGACCTAATAATGCAGCTTAGGGTGGCAAACCTGCCTAAGACCCTCTAAGAACTCACTAAATTCGTCTCCCTGCAGCGCGGAAGCGGGAGCTGGAAGGGAAGACTTTGGGAATAACTAGTTCGCGCTTTGACAAATCCACCAGCTCAGACCCCGGCAGTATTTTATAATTTTGGTGCTTAGATGGAAACTTGTAACGAGGTTTTGGCGTTTTTACTTTGGAGTAATGTATTCTGTATTATCCCCGCCTGTCACATCCGTCGTTTTGTCTTTGCCTATTGTCGCGAAATATCCGACTGCGGTTTCAACTCTTGGAAGAGGGGCTAGCCTGCTGAGTCGACCAGCCTGTGTCAACATACGGATCTGTACTGCGTCAAAAGTCAAGGTCGAGGTCACTTCCAGGCACATTATAAGACCTTGGTCTTGTGGGGCATAACGACCCAAAGAAGCACTGCACAGACGGACCATTTTTGCACCCTTCCGGAGACGGACGGGAGGATCGGATCGTGAGGTTTCCAAGGTTCAAATTAGACAGTAGTCGACCTCTATCAGTTTGCACAGTGAACCATGTAGTTATCGATTGACGTCCCACCGATAAAGCACTCCTTAGGGCCGGAGCCAGGTCTCTTGATGTTTATTTTCAGTCCAAAAACTAATGGAATGTGAGCCGAGACGATGATCAACCGCCGTGCCAAAGGGGTTATCTTATGACAAGCGACATGTACTGTATCTATAACTTTATAGACGATAGATGGTTCTGAATATCAAAATGTTTCAATTGCAAGTAGTGCTGTTTGTTATGGCTTCCTAACAATACAGTAACTAACTGTAGGGAATAGCAGGCCTCACTGGAATCATCTAACAACTTGAAAACGCAAGAAAGCGGGATTATTAAAAATACCAAATAACGATGAAGGGAGTAAGTCAGCATCATCTGCTGCATCTTCAAGAGAGAGACTGAATTCTTCTCTGACCTTTACCAGCACCGGAACAGGATCCAGCCAAGTTCGTTTTTTTATTTGTTGAAGATAGCATCTTTTGAATTTATTGCGCTTTTCACGGGGGTAACAAAACTGGATCCCATACTTTTCACAGCCTGCGTCAGACAAATCAAGATCTTCAACTTCATAGAAATTTTGCTGCCCAATTTTCACCACCAGCAAGAAAAAAAAAAATTCTCGCTTCATCTGAGCAGTCGGCTTCTGCAGTGACGAGGAGTGTCTATGCTCTTGGCCAAGTAGGCTCATCAATTGGTTCCCCAGAGGGAACAGCGTTGGAGGGCGGGTTGTGTACATAAATGGAGGCTCGCCGTTCCAGATAGCCTGAAGTAACCTGACAGCTTCTGGTTTTCGTTTCACCTGCACAAATGTTTGGGCAAGGCGCATCGCTACCGGAATAAGTATCTCCTCAACATTGGTTGATCGAAACAGTTGCCATATGGCCACAAAGAACCATCTGGTGGTCTCTCTGGAGAAATTGATAATGTTGACCATGAAAATGAGTTGTCTGAAGAGCCTTGTCAGGACTCTGCGGGCCTGGATCGATTCAATCCAATAGCTTTCCAAGGCTCTGGCTTATGATTTTCTGCTACCAAAATTTTCTGACCCGTCTTCGGGTGGGAATATGCATTATCATCAGTCCCCCGCCAAATATCTTCCTTTGCTTCCCGCCTCGTTCCCAGACTGTCGGGATACTCTGCCACGTCAAACAACGCTACCATTGTGTTGACCAAATCCTTGTCTGTTCTGGCTAGCTTGGGCTGAGCGTAACTGTTCCAGCTGTGCTATCCAGAAATACTCTTTGTGTTTTGACGAGGAAAATTTGTGATCGTTCCCCTCAGGATTGATTGTTATTAGTATATCAATATTGCTTTGCCTTCCTTTCACGGGAAACTTGCGGACCAGCACCAATTCCTACGATTGCTGACAAAATGTCCCGTCCCGGACCATTCTGTCGGTTCCATGTTGCAGGCGGGATTGGAATTTACGAATAGGACGTCAGCATCGAAAATGGTCGAAATTCCTCCGAAGGGAGATTATTACCTTTTTTGTCTGCCACCAATCCCTGGTTGTGGGGTGGTTGTTGGGGATTGGCGCTTGGGGCGACAGAGCATGGCATGATGCATGGGTGCTATGATAACGAGAACCACTGACTCCAGTGGCTTGAGGTGCATTAACCCCCATGGGATTCGGTGAGTTCCAGGTCCGTGAACTGGCAATTCATCCAGATTTCCTTCCATGGTTTCAGATGGGATTTATTAGCTGCAATGCAACATATGATGACGAGAGACAGAGTGAGAAAGGAAGGAAAGAAAAATGACAAACCGTTCCCGTCACTTGACAATTCAATTTACCTTTTCTATTTTTATTTTTATTTTATTTTGAAGCTACTCAGCACCACCACTCTCTATAACCCAAAACCTACAGAATAGTCCAGCGGCGTTCTCTGGCTTTCAATCCGACCCAAGGGACTAGAAAAAGAAAAGAATGCATTAAGAACGAGCGTTTTCTACATTCTTACGCTCTTCCTGGGAACTTTCCCACACGCTCTTGCTCATTTTTCTTTCATTTCAAACTCATGCATCATTTTTGCATGATACATTGGCAGCCAGCCAAATATTCCGTACGGTCTTTGGATGTTTGGGTTGAGTCAGAGATTTCATATTATGCGACATGTCTGCACGTAAATAATGCGCTCTGACTTCTGGAAATCCTATTCATGCAGCTCTCCGCTTTCCTCGTTGGGACGGGAAAGCTCCATGGTATTGGGAAGGGTCTTAAAATGGACATTGACCATATATCAAACATCGATTGCTTCTCGGTGTCGGGCGGAATGGAGTTAGGAACCCATTGGATACCAAAATCGATAACTCCAATCGATAACTCCGTTCTTAGATCCGAGGTACTTTTACATTTCCAGCCGAACGCCTTCTCTTTATTTGGGCTGCTTACAGGCAGCTTCGTTGCCTGGACATTCCCGTCTCCGTAAAACATTCGGCAGCATACGAATATTATTCCGTATATTTTCCGAGACACAGAGGATGTCTATCTGCCTTTTGTGTCGCTTATTCGGCGCGGTATTCGTCCCCTTTATGATCTTTATCAGATTGATGCCAATTCCACCTTAAAAATGACTGGGCGGCTGGAAAGGAATACATATGCACACCGACATCCAAAGATATCCACCTGCAATAATAGCGCAGCAGGCGTCAATTTACTAGCTCCCAAGAGATGTATGTGCACACTGCGCGTCCCTCCACTTCAACCAAACAACGGGTAATCTCAAAAATCCTTGGGATATCGGTCGTCTGTGACATTGTTGATCCAAAGCCACACCAACACCAGGTCAACTGCAATACATTCACCCAACACACTCCACAACATCAGAGAAGAAAAAGAAGTAAGGAGATGCCATTCTCCGTCTAAGTTTGAATACCCAATGGTGCTGCATGCGAGCTGCGGCCAAGAGATGTTGTACTGGCACTGTTTTGTAGAGCTGGTGAGTTGTTAGTTGGGTGTCTGTTCCAATGCTAAGGCCCCAATGCCCATTCGACTGAATTCGTTTTCTAGGTCAAGTTATGAGGCGATTGGACATACATGTGGAGAGACTGCAATATTGGTATACATCCATTAGATAAATTTTTAAAATCAAAGTATTGACATGTTGCTATTGCCTCTAAGCCGTTGGATTTCTTTTGGTGTAGTTTAAAGAAAATTTCCCCATTTTTACATTCTTTTAGAGTCTTGGGTATTTGGCTCTGCGGACAGAGCAGCCATCATCCAAATCGTCGCCATTCTGATATAGAGCTGATAGCCTAAGTATGCTGTCCTGAAGACCTAAAACTATACCCACAATTCCTCTTTGCGACCTAAATATCGCTCTGCATGAAGCTGTATTACAT